GGGGGGGGGGGGGGGGGGTAAGACGAAGGAATATTCCTCGGAGGAGCAGAGTGCGAATTCAATTCGTTCGGAACTCACGCGTGAATTCCGCCTCCGCAACCGCGTATATATCGAGAATATTCTCGCCCCCTCCTGATTCCTCTCCGCTTCATTCCGCGCGTCAATTCGCGGAGTGGCGTTCGAAATTCTGCTGTCTTTGCCGTTAAATTCTTCCGAAAAGCTCACCTTTCAAAAACGTTTATACAACAGCAGCCCGACTCGGAGGACGCTCGCGCGATAAAGATCGAGACTTCTCGCTATTGCGTCTAGACAGACTCCGATTCACTATCCGTCCTGCCACGCAACCTTCTTTCCGCTTACCATCTACCTTATCCTCCTTGCGGCGAGGATTTCACGTGTTTTGTTTCAATTCGGCGCCGAAACCGCTCCGCCGAATCAAATAGGTCGGCGCCGCACGAATCAAGACAACGCGACGACTCTTTCCGGAGTTTAGTTCCGGTCGAAGAATCGAGACTAGGAGAGAGAGGATGAACTCATTACGGCTTCGGTTCAGGTCCGCGGTTATAATACAGTTATAGAACAAATCCAGGGAGGAAGAGAGCGGTCTGCTCGGCTGGACATTACTGCGGTCCGGCGCAGTGCTTTGCCCGGCGCCGCCTCTACCCTCAGAAACGGGGAAGGCATGATGTGGAAATCGCGGAGAAACCTTTCGCGAACCCGAAGCCGGAACCTCGCGAACTATCTTGAAATAAATTCGGATTCAGTTTCCGGTCTGCGCATCATCTTCCCGCCACTTCCTTTTCACACAGCGAGTTACTTTGTCACGCAAACACATCTTACTAAAAGCATCTTCCTCTGACACTGGGACTATCAAAGCGGTCAAAACAAACGATTTGTAATTTTATGCAAAAATTCCTCAAATTTACAACGGTACGTTTTATATTTCTGATCGAAGTTGGATAAAACTGAAAAAATATCTAAAAAAAAAACAAATATTTTTTCCTCTATGCAGTGCGAATTTTTTCAAAAACCTACCAGTTTTACTGCTGTGGTAGAAATACCATCTGTCTAATAAGAACGTGACCGGGCAAACTTCTGTTTGAAAACCGTTACATCGAAAACTTTTGAACGAGCTAGAGAAGGCTTTTTCTCTACAATGTATTATACGGAGGATCCCAGTCAATATCCGACTTACGCTAAAGAATAATATATTTAGTGATGAGTACTGGAATGTAGTCCGAAACAAATTGGATAAATATGAGCTTTGATATAGTTGCCGTTAGTTTTTTCTTTCAAATGAGTGCGGAAGAAGCGCATGGAGGTAACACGATGAAACATCTTGTTTGAAACAAAAAACTAACGACAATTGTCTCAAAGCTCATATTGATCCGATTTTAATGTCAACCCTTTGAATCCTATTTTCCCTGTCCAACTGTCCGAAGTTTTAAAAAATGTTATTTTTTTATCTGAGAACCAGACACCCTTTACAAATTATATTACAAATCATTAGAATAATTATGATCAACGCATATGCGATTTCTACGATGAGAAAACACTTCAAATCCTGTGAATTATACATATTCCAAAGACCTGTAAAATAAATCCAGATAAAGCAGAAAATAACGATGACGTTGAAATAACGAGAAAATAACCATAAAACTCGCTCTTCGGCCGTGCTTCGATTATTTTCTCGTCATTTCCGCGCTATTTCAGCGTTATCGTGATTTTCCGTTCTACCTGCCGGGGATATCCCGCAGTAGCGGGATAATGAGTTGAAAAGGTCGGGGAACCGAAAGAACGACGCGATAATCGCGATACAGTCGGCGTTCGCGGCACACATGTCACATCTTTCGAAAATGATCCCCCCCAGCTGTTCGTTGAATTTTCTACAAGACGTAGCACGCGGTCGAGCGACGCGGTTATTAATCGCGAATATCCCGCGTGTATCCAGAGGGAACGGTGTGTCGTTGCATCCGCCGTAACGAAGGCGTTAATGACCACGCCGCCTGTTGTACGATGCAGACCGCCGGGTTCTCGCTCGATCCGGCACAGTCGCTGTTTCGCGTCTCCCCGTGTATCTCCCATTTAAATTCCGACGCGAGGGAAAAATCCGATTTACCGTCTAACTCCCGGCATTTCTTTGCAAACGAATAGAATGTCAGCGGCCGAGCAGCTCCGACACGCGCCGCACACAGCCGTGCCGGGAGTCACGCCAGCACCGCCGCCCTACACGCAGGCAATGAGAATGAATAGCTTGAATACCTTGAACGGCGCGGGCCCGCAGGTTGGTACAATGGTGAATGTATGTCAAATTCCTAAACGTAGTTACACCGCCGTCGACGCCGCTGCCGCCGCCGCCGCCGGAGTTGCGGAGCTTCGTGCAACTTGGAGTAGGTCGGTCCGGGGGGAAAGAGGGCGAACTGTCAATATTGCAAAGCCATTGCAACAGCACGCGCTTGCAAGCGCGCGCGCGAACTTTTATTTGCAACGCTAATCCTTTTCCGTACAGTCATTCCAATTTCGCAGTCGCACGTGCGCCGTTTCGAATTGTTTCCGCCTGTTCCCTGGCTTTCACGCGTGCTCCCTCGCGCGTAAGACGTAACACGCGAGGCGCACCGCGACAAAAGGAATTCCAAATTTAATAATCGGCCAAGTCGCGCGCGCTTTCGCACCGGCGCCGCCGCTCGGATTTCATCGACGGCTCGGATTAATCCCGCGGAGCGCTTCAACGCGTTATCAAAGATAGAAGCGTATTGTCGGTGCTTTTAGTCAGTTGCACGCACATATGCATCGCGCGGGTTGGAAAAGGGTTGAAAGAGCGAAGAGCTGGAAGATCGCGATAAAAGTAAAGGATTGACGCGCTCTTTTTCACCACTCCAACTTGAACCGTTTACTGGCCGGTCCGATTACACGTCATCGCAATTGGGATAATGTAAACCGGAGAAGCGAAAAATGAATAATATGGCGTATGTGCGGGCGGTGGCAGCGAAGCACAACGGTATTTAAGCCGACAATAATGAGTCATACATTTGGGAAGGCGGTGACGCTTAATTACTTCGGCACGACGGGAAATTTTCAATTTTTTCCCCACCTAACCGGGAAAAAGTGCCGTAATAACATAGTTGGAAATTTATGTTACGCACTTTCACAAATCCGTTTATTTCGCAAAATGAAAAAAAAGTACGGCTTATAGCGGCCCTTTTCCTGCTAGCGTATTACTCGCGCGCGTTTGCCGCTCTCATGTTATATAATTCAATCTTTCGTGCTATTTAAAGCATAGCTTAATGGATATAGATGGAAACATTAGCCGGTTATGTCTATATATGTCTATTTTATATTTCAATAGAGTTGTTACAACTAAATGTACACGGAAACGTTAACGGTAACGCGACTTTCACAAACGTACGAATGTACATGAAACAATGGCGTGCTCAAGATTTCTCAGGAGAGATGCGAGATAAAAGCTCCACATACGAGAGAGCTCCCTATTATACTGTTATTATTATCTCTTATAATTAATATTATTCTCCGGTAGGAAATGAAAATCTGTAGTTTGTAACTGATCCTTTCAAGTAAACAATTCTCCTCGCTTGAACACACTGTTGAGTATTCTTTGCAATGAACGTTATCGCCGCTATCGTATTGTCTATTTTAATACTTTTACATTAAAAAAAGAGGAACGTTTAATAATGTGAAACGTGTACGGAGAAAATATTCCGTAAGCTCCATGTTTAGACGAGCAAATGTTTAAATATTAAGGGCGCTCATAAGTAATCAAATATTTTTCAATGAAACACTTAAATGTCTATAAAATTTTTATTTTACAATCAACGAAATAATAATAAGTTGAATATATATTTTACTTCCAAATATATATATATATATATATATATATATAGCACTCTAAGAAAATACTATTAATATATTACACAGTTCAAGTAGAGAATTTGATAAAAATAAGAGTTTTGTAAATGTTTGATCACTCATGGGTATTCTTAATTCGATATATTTATATACAAAGTGAGACATTAACTATTACTATTTCGAATACCCTCGAAGTATGAAAGTACGAGACAAATTTATCTAACAGAAATTACATGCTACAAAAGCGGTTGTCTTATGGCAGTAACGCTTTTTTTTTTAATGAAGTAAAATGAATATCTTAATGATAGTGTCCTAATTTATAATAATCGCATCTGTTCTTCTTGATAAATCAAATAATATAGCTCCATATTTATTTATTAAAAACATGAGATTATTGTTCCACTAATTGCGACATTCACCTTAATTTCGAAGATGTAAAAGTCACCATTGTTTTCCTAATCGAAGATATTCAAGATGGTATAGTTATATCTCACCCTGGACAGGGCTATCAAAAGATGCATCTCTCTCTCTCTCTCTCTCTGTCTTTCTCTCTCAGCAAATACGTATAGATAGATACATGGCGGGAGCGGCGCGTGATTAAATCATCGACCATGTAACCCATGAAATATCGCACCTCCCTCATTTTTCCAGGCTCCCCTGTCGGCGCACTACATCACCGGCGGGCCAAACGGCGCCATGGCGACGGTGAAGCGCACGTCCGCGGTGGGTACGTTAGCGACGCACGTATGAGGCCAGGGGATCTACCCGAATTAGAACCGTCGATACTCGGGCCTAACTGAAACTACCTTCGAGTTTGGCCGTGCCCTCGAGACGCCCCGCTATATGCGCGCGTCGGGATGGACGCACCTCGTCGACTCGCAGCGAGGTCGAGATCGTTACGAGAGCCGCTACCGCGCTCGCGAGGAGACTGCGGCGGCGGTGGGTTACGCAGGAGCGGAGGAGAGCGAGCGGCTGCTGCAGGCAAGGCCGCGGGACAGAGGTCACGGCGGGGTCACGGATCGAGCACAACGAATGGCCGAGAACGGCGAGGCGCTCAAATACATCGAGCTGGTGCTTCGGCAGCTGCGAAGGGCCAGCAGAGATCATCGGCGACTCGTGCAGCAACGTCACGCGGACTTCCGTTGCAGAATCGGCGAAGGATCGAGGTCGCGTTTCGAAGACGAGCGAGTCTGGCGGCAACAGGACAGACGCGAGAGTCCGGCGGGCAGAATGTGCTCTCGCTCCACGAGCGGCCCGTGGGAATCGGACGTGAGCTCGAGGGAGGAGGTCGCCGGCCGATCGAGCGAGTCTCCACGACCGGACGTCACGACGAGGTTGCTGACGAAGAGACGGGATTACGGCGGAACGGCGCAGAGCAGCACGGCCGGCGTTTTGGACGGGATTACCGCGGCCGCTTACCAAGACTTGAGGTACGTTCCCGAGGACTGGGAGAGCGCGCGGGAGACGTTCGGCGCGTGGAGTCTGCCTGAGACTCCGTCGAGCCACGGCAAAAGGACGTCCTCCACCCTGGTTTAGCGCGGACGGGACTGGCGCTTTGTGAGCCGACGGATTCAATTTCACGAGGACCGCATCGCGGAACGGCTGGAAATGAGGAGAATCGCCGAGATGGGGAGAAGGTATCGATGATAGAAGCGTCTATGATCGTCTCTCGCTCGTGTTTACGATATGCTTGCCTACTACTTGAAATCAAACTAATGCTCGCCCGCGGTGGTGACACATTGAAGAGCCTACGTGCGGCAAGGGCGCCGATATATCAAAGAGGAAAACGGACCGTACTCTCCTCTTTTGGGTCAATAAGATTAGATTTAGGAAGAGCGCCGTGAGAAAGAGAGAGAGAGTAGCAGTGTGCTCGGGGATTCGTGAGTACGAAGGGCGATGGTTGGGTTCGTGGATCGAAGGTACTCACTTCGGTCGATTCGAAAACAGACCACTCGGTATCGACAATCTTCTATTGACGTACTTTAGATCTTCTATAAGCATTTAATAAGACTCGTTGCGTGCGAAAGAACGGCGAGAAGGGAGGGGG